TATGGGCTTCAATAATAGCCACCTTTTTGGCCATGGGGTCAGGGTTTTCACCGATCTCCTCTTCAGACTTTTTGAGAATGTCATCTTCCCCTTCAGATTCATCGGATGAAATCAGGGAAAACTAAGGAATATCATTGGTTTTGAACCTTCTTTTCTTATTGCTCTTGACATATTCAAGCTCCTTGTTCAGCTTTTCCAAGGATGCCTGATGAGATTGAGATTCACTCTGGAGCTTCAAATTCTGCTCTTGGGCAACTCTCAGCTCTTCTTAGGTTTCCCGCAACTGCTCAACGATTTCAGCCATGGTAGGGTCTTGATTGGGACTTCCAACCATGATGAATGACAGATCAAATGAAATTAATAAGATGATCTACTGTGTCCCCACAGACAATGCCAAAGTGTTTAGGTCAAAATCTGACTGCCAGATAAGACCAGGCTCAATTAGACAACAACTAGATTAATGAAGGTGCAAATGACAATGCAGGTTCTCGAAATCAAAATGAAGGGTATGCAAAAAACGAACGAATGGGAAAGGGGAGAAGAGACACAAATTGATGACGCAGAAAACCCCAGGAATAAGGGTAAAAATTGCGGGTAGCAACGAGTCCACAAACCAACTAGGCTGACAAGTTAATACAAGTACACTTTTAAGTTTAGAATTGAGTTGTAACGATGCTAAGGATTGCTAATAATTGCTAATTGTTGTGAATGCTAGGGATAGAGTATTTGTGTTGCCTTTGTACAAAGATTATCTCTCTATTTATAGTAAAAGAATCATCTTGAAAGGCTTCAACGACTCCATTCCGAATTCCGTGGAATCCAGAGCTAGTGGGCTGAGGTAGTTCCTATTTCCACGTCATCCTCCTTGTGCATTTAACCGTTAAGGTTTGAATTGGTCTTCATCAACGGCAAGCTGAGGCCCATGGTTCCGATTCTCTTGGCACTTCCTTTTGATTCATTAACCTGGGATACTCTTGGAATATTCCTTGGGAAAGACTTCGTTTAATTTCTTTTAAGTACTTAGAACTAGATTGTTGGCTTCATGGTAACCTGCAACCTACAACCTAGCAACCTGCGAGCAAGTGAACTTGTGATGAAAATTTAGGCACAACACGTATTATTGTGAGGGTATATATAGATTGATTGAGAATATTTTTGAATTAATTAGATTGGGACACCAGCTTACATTAGACTGATTAGAGCATATCAATGAACAAGACGCTAAACGTTACTACAAGTACATAAAAAGCATTTAATCTATCTCAACTATTCTGGTAGAGTTCAAGAGTGTACAATCTAGGTGTGATACAAAGCTAGGTCGGGAGGTTCCGGGACTTGTACAAGTCCTTCTAGCATTGCTAAAACCATCCTCATCGTCGGCCTTAGATTAGGATCATCATGAATACACCATAAGACAATCTTGAGCATTTTCTCTAATCTTTCCCTGTCATTAAGTGCCTCTGTATCGTGGTTGACAAGTTCATCAATTGTTTTCATCTCGTAGCAGTCCAAGGCTCGATCAGTGAGTAGTACAACACCTTCTTCTTCATTATTTCCTGTTTGCACATTCATCTGACAACAAATAATCTCTAGTAACAAAATCCCAAAGCTATAAACATCCACTTTTGTCGTGATTGGCATATTTTTTGAACCACTCAGGGGCAACATACCCTCTTGTTCCTCTTGCCGCGGTATTGGTTTGTGTCTGATCTAACCTCAAAAGCTTTGCCAATCCAAAGTCTGAAATTCGAGCACTGAAATCATCATCCAGCAGTATATTCTGTGGTTTTATATCACAGTGGATGATCTGAGTGTTGCAATGCTCATGCAAATAGAGGAGACCTTGAGCAATCCCATGAGCAATTGGCCACCTTTTCTCCCAAGCTGGTCTAGGGGTTCCACAAAGGAAGTCACATAGAGTGCCATTACTCATAAACTCGTACACGAGCAACCAATGCTCACCTTCCACGCAGTATCCGACAAGCCTGACCAGATTCTTATGATGTGTTTGGCCTATGGCATTCACTTCCACCTTAAATATGTTTTCAGCATCTTGTATAAGACTGTCCAATTTTTTGACTGCAATAAAAGTTTGAGGACCCGAAAGTTCTCCCATAACGCCTTTGTAAACAACACCAAAAGCCCCACGTCCTAATTCTTCCCTGAATCCATCAGTAGCATCATTGAGCTCCTTATAACTAAAGCTAGGAACAGTGTATGTTTCCTGAATTTTGTCCCTAATGCCCTGCTTCAGTGTTTTACAGTCGAAAATGAATCGGATTCCCTTTAATATAACACCCAACAAGATAATAATGGAAAACCCGGAGATACATAATAATAATATTAGTATTTTGTTTAAGCTCTTGAAAGATTTATTGCTGCCAACACCAGATTTAGTCAGACCACTATAATTTCTCACCTTGATGAATGCAGTTCTTTCGACAGATCTGTCACTCTTCCCGTTCGTGAGTGGCAACTTCTTTTTCCAGCAATCTCCGTTTTCTTTGTAAATTGCTACTGCACACAAGCAATCCATCAGGCACATATTTCTGCACCAATCAATGGTTACATTCTGATAACGCTCATAGTCTGACAGTGGCCAATCCACACTCTGCAGCACCTTCATATCAAATTGATGATTTTTCTGTGATGCCTCATCACAGCTTTGCTGAAGAAATTTGGGATCGCAACCACCCATCTCATCGTTTGGATCTGACAGCATGTAATCCGGAGGACATATGCAATGTGGTTTGTTGTCATCTCCTACCTTGCAGTAGCTATTGTAGCCACACACCCCGCTGCCTGTTTGTTGGTAAAGAGTAGTACAAATGTATTGGGGGCGAAGCCCTTAATTAACCAGACTCCTGAATGAGAAGAAGGTTTTGGGTAGACATAATGTCTTAATACACCATCGTAATCAAGAATCACCCTTTGGTAGAACATATTTTCAATGGATTTTTCATCGAAAAACATGTTTATAAGAATGCTACCATTTTTGGCTATAAGGTACATGAAGCCAGACTGATTGAACACCACCTGGTGTCCTAACCCTTCCATCGTATTCGTGTAATCCCAATAATCGGAGTTTATACTCGTGTATAGAGGGAAATTTGTGGTGAATAATGAGAGGTTTCCACTCTTTGTTTGCTTAAACGAGAATCTGCCACCTGAATAATTGTGTTCTTTATAACGAGCAATGAGCTGCCCACCTGGGTTCAGCACCTGTGTGGGCAAAAGAGTGTCAGTTGGCTCATCAAAGCTTTGCCAAAGTGTAGCGGAAGCCTTAGTCGCCAGCACAAAGTTGCCAGTGTCGAGAATGGCAGCATAGGCGAGTCTTTCACCATCACCACGGTCAGGAAACTTAGCTCTCCATATCTCTTGGCCACTAGGGTCAGTAAGTATTAGGCCTTTATCAGTGTTTAATTCTACTTTTGAACCACTGGGTAAAGGTTGATCTCTGTTGGCAGACCATGTTATGGTTTTTTCAGGGACTTGATTGAACCAAATGGCTAAGAGGAAAGTTCCTGTAGGTTCAATCTTGTTGTGAAAACCAAAAGCAAAGTCATTAGATGGAGACGACCATGACGAAATGGTACCTCCAGCCGTGAGGGATGAGCCTAAGGTTATATTTTGGTAAGTTTGAGCCACAGTATAAAAGGGGAGGAAAAAGAATGCATAGATTAAATCAAGTCGTATTGGTGATGCCATGCTTTACACACTAAGGTAGCTTAGCGCGAAAGATAATTTCTTTTTTACTTTCATAAAGGATGGACAACAGTGAGGAGTGCTAGTGGAGAATGGACACCAGTGGGGAGTGCTATTGGAGTGATGGGTTAGACTAATCAACTTCAGAATGTATGCAGCAGAAGAAGGTCTACGGAGTTAAATTTTTGGATAATGTTGTAGAAACGCTAGTGTTGGAAATATTGGTATACTATACTCAAGTAGAATTTCTATAGACTTGGTATGACTTCATTGCTATGCCCTGCATTTACACTGTGGCCGTGACCACACAAGTCATAGATGTGCAATGACAGAAATTGAATTGACTTGAAGACTTTTCTTCAATGGAAATTTAATAGCTGATGGTTACAGGGAGACATCCAAGTAGCCAATCTGTACTATACTACTATCTTTGATACTAGACAGTAAATACCATCTATACATATGCTACCATCTAATACGGGGTATTACATATAATCACAGGGGGCATCAAGTTGGGTACAGAAACATAACTTCAAAAGCGAAGGATGAACTGAAGCAGAATGGACTGATGTCTTGACTTGGTCAGAGCCACTGCATAATTAATCTAAGAAAAAGTAAGAGATTTTATCCCTAAATACAAGAATTTTAAAAATAATTTTCACTTCCCAGTACACTTAAATAATGTCCCTTTTGGCTTTTGTTAAAAATAAAAATTAAAAAAAGTAAAATAAAATAAAAAATCTGAGAAAAATTAACTTGGAGAATTCCTGCATCTCTTCCACTGTTAACCCATCTGAAATTTATTTAACCTGACACCCCCATCCCCAACCCCTCTTCCCAGCCAAAATAGTAAAGAGAGAACGCACCAATAAAGGGGTAAATGATGTAGGAAAGTTGGAACCTTCTAAGCATGGCAGTATCCTTGCCTGATTTGATTTGTATTTTCCTCTTTCTGCCTTTTCATATTAAGGCTCAACCTTACCAAAACATAACCTTAGGCTCATCCCTCAAGGCCGGAGACAACTACTCATCATGGTTATCTCCATCTAAAGACTTTGCTTTTGGGTTCCAGGAGATTGAACCTTCAGGAAATTTTCTCTTAGCCATTTGGTTCAATCATATCCCTGAAAAAACCATAACATGGTCCGCTAACAGAGATCAGCCACTACCAAGTGGTTCAAAAGTAGAAATTAAACACTGACAAAGGCCTGACACTTACCAATCCCAACGGCCAAGAGATATGGAGAGCTAAGCTTCCTGTCCATAGTAATGGTGAAAGACCCGCCTATGCAGCCATGCTCGACACTGGAAACTTTGTGCTAGTGAACCAGACTTCTGCAATAATTTGGCAAAGCTTTGATGAGCCAACTGACACTCTTTTGCCCACACAGGTACTGAACCCAGGTGGGCAGCTCATTGCTCGTTTCACAGAAAAAAATTATTCAGGTGGAAGATTTGCATTGTCGCTAACAAACATTGGAAATCTTGCATTATACACCACAAATTTCCCTCTTTACAACAGTTTAAATTACAACTATTTGGATTACAAGACTGAAGGGTTCGGACTCCAAGTGGTGTTCAACCAGTCTGGCTTCCTATACCTAAAAGCCAGAAATGGTAGCATTCTTGGCTTGTTCTCTAATGAAGTATCCGTTGAACAAGAGTTCTACCAAAGGGTGATTCTCGAATACAATGGTGTCTTAAGACATTATGTCTACCGAAAACCACCGCCTCATTCAGACAGCAGTTGGTCAATCAAGAGTTTCACTCCTGGTGACATTTGTACAGCAGTTACACAGCAAACAGGCAGCGGAGTGTGTGGCTACAACAGCTACTGCAGGTTAGGAGATGACAACCAACCACTTTGCATATGTCCTCCAGATTACACACCTTCAAATCCAATCGATGAATTGAGTGGTTGCTTCCCAAACTTTTCTCGACAAACCTGTGAAGGAACGACACATGATGAGAATTCCTATGTTATGAAGGTGCTGCGAGCTGTGGACTGGCCACTGTCTGATTATGAACACTATCAGAATGTTTCCATTGATTGGTGCAAAAAGCATTGCCTCATGGATTGCTCCTGCGATGTAGAAATTTTCGGAAGAGACGGGGACTGCTGGAAAAAGAAGCTACCACTCACAAATGGAAAGAACAACAGCTCTGTCGATAGAACAGCATTCATCAAAGTTGACTTAATGATACTGTCAGCAAAAGTCTTCATTCTAAGCAACCGAACAGGGTACATAATCTTCAATTAATTAGTCCCTTTGAAGTTTTGGCCATTTTTTGTTTTACTAATTGCAGCATTTTTGGTATAAAATTGAAACATTTGGAGCTCCCTAGCCCTTCTTTCCCAAATCTCACTTTGCATTTACCACTTTCTGATTACTTTGTTAAATAATCTGTTTCCTTTTTTTGATTTAATACCTTTGATTTTGCAGCATATAATAAGGACATTAGCTGTTATTATCCTTCCTGTAATTGCTGTAGTTGTGACAGCAATAGTTCTCATAACTTGTTATAAGAATGATCAAAGGAAAATGATGCGAAATTGGGAAATCAAAGGTATGTATTTAAGGAAGCATAGTTAGTTGCAATAGAATTCATCTTGAAGAATAGGCACCTAAGCTAAGAGTTCTTTATAGGATAATGGTTTTAGACTAAATTAAATCAGGTTTTAAAATGAATAAGAACTTTTCAGTAGCTCTGACAGAAATCAACAATTTCTTTTTTCTTTTTTATTATTTGTACCAAGATTTTTAGTCATGAAAAAACTAAGTAAGATGGCATAAATTCTTGCCTCAATTATCTAAAATGTAGTTAGGTAAATGCTGTGTTTTGTGAGATTCATTTTCACTTTTTGTCTTCATTTATACGTACTAAACAGATGATGCAACTAGAAATGAGAGTATAGAATCATGCTTTGAATTCAGCTTCAGTACAATAAGAGCTTCAACAAATAACTTCTCCAGTTCCAACAAGCTTGGACAAGGTGGCTTTGGTATAGTTTACAAGGTAACCTGAGATGTTTGTTTGTATAATATTTATTGATTCAAAACAATTTCATGTGTTATTATTGTGCTGTATCTCGTTGTCTATTAATAGCAAACATACATACAGGGTAGGCTTCCAAATGGCCGGCTAATTGCTGCTAAGAGACTGATGCGTCACTCTGCACATGGTGAAGTGGAATTTAAGAATGAAGTGAAATTAGTGGCCAGACTTCATCACAACAATCTTCTTAGGCTCATTGGATTTTGCGTGCAAGGGAATGAACGGATCTTAATCTATGAATTTGCACCTAATGGAAGCCTAGATTTCGTCTTATTTGGTAGTTTCTCCACCTTTGAACTTTACTGTCTGTTGTTAGTCACAACTAAAATGAGTGTCATATAAGTGTACATAAAATACAGAAATTTGTCTCATATGATCAATTGATGTTTGCTTTTCCTATTGTAGTTACTAGTTGGTCTCCATTGTGCAGTAAGCAATGATACTGATCAAATTTGCATTTAATTTGCAGATGCTATGAGACGAGAACATTTAACTTGGGAGATTCGATACAAAATCATACAGGGCATAGCACGTGGATTGCTTTATCTTCATGAAGAATCTCAAGAGAGGATTTTTCACCGTGATCTCAAAGCCAGTAATGTTTTACTAGACGAAAACATGAATCCTAAAATTTCTGATTTCGGGACTGCAAGACTGTTTCTCGAAGATCAGACCAGTGCTTCCAGAATTGTGGGTACATAGTGAGTGCCTTCTGTTAAAGGCAGAAAATTATTGCACAATTTTTACCAACATTATCAGCTGGCCTGAATCTATCTATTCCAATAGCTTTCTGTTCATAGCCGAAGCATATTTTTCCTCTTGCTGATAACTGATTTTATACTGCAGTGGTTACATGGCTCCTGAATATGCAAAGTATGGGAAGATATCGGTAAAGGTTGATGTGTTCAGCTTTGGTGTCTTACTCTTGGAGATTGTCAGTGGGAGGAAAAATAGTACATCTCACAGCCCAAAGCAGATGGAACACCTATTAAGCAAGGTGAATATAGACAGCTATAGAAATTAACTACTCTCTTGAGTCTCATCTAGACATCTAGTTGACAACGCAACATCTGAACACAAAATATAAAAATAAAAAACATATATAGGATCTAAAAACCATTTTGTTAAGCCAAAAATCCGCATACATTTGATGCACATCATGCTCTTGAAAGAACATACAGTCAAAAAGTAAAAGTACATAACGTTCAAAATATACTCCGTAAGCTTTACTAATGTTTTGGCTTTACCTTCAAATGGCATAGCTGAAAACCAAAGTAACTCCAATTCAAACTGTTCCTAAATCAAAATGCTAATTCATTACGGTTTAAATTTGGATTTTGTGTAGATGACTTGAGCATTAAGCCTTGATTCAGAGGGAATTAAACGGATGTCACTTTAATTTCTATTGCTACTTGCTAAGTGCTCTAGCTGTATGTTCTTGCAGTCATGGAAACTTTGGACATCAGGAAAAGTTCTGGAATTGATAGACCCTATATTACTGAAGACAGATTCTCCAGTGGAAGAGATAACAAGATGCATCCATATAGGGTTACTGTGTGTTCAAAAAAACGCGGCTTGTAGGCCTACCATGAACTTAGTTATTCTAATGCTTGAGTGCTGTTCACAGTGCCTCCTACCTCCTTCAGAACCAGCATACCTTATAGATTTTGGTGATGAAGAAGAACCAAATGTGCCAGTGATCGGGGATCATTTATATTCACCAACTGCTTTATTATCAACATCAAGCAATAGCACCTTGTCGATTAATCAGGTGTCAATCACTGATCCATACCCAGAACCACGATGAAGCTGCTGTAAGAAAGTTGTAGTTATTCCATGATTAGGAAAGTAAATGAGTAGCAAACAACTGACTTTAGAATCTCATTAATATTATGGTTGTCTTTGAATTGTGTCTATAATACATGTATAAACCATCATCACATGCATATCTACTAAGACCTGATAACCAAATATGAAGAAATGGTATCCTGTTCTATAGTTTTAGATAGAATTTAATTGAAAAATATATAATTCTAGGGACTGAAAGAAACATTCTTATAAATTACTGTAATAATTTAATCTGGATAAATAATACGGAGCAGAAATTAACAAAGAGTTTCTATCTATACAAGATAGGTAAGTATCGAAGAGAAGATTATAAGAACTTATTTCAAGAAACTCTATCCTATAGAGTTATAATCTTACCTAAGATTCACTTTAATGACACACCTACTAGCTAGATATATGCTTCTTAGAATAACCCTTAAATTATGTTATTGACCTTACAATAATCACCTCTCATTTGTTGTGCTATGTTCTTCTTGCTGATAAAATATCTGCAACTTGCACAAGATTGTACAGCATGCAATAGGCCTGCAATCTAGCATTAGTGACCTTAGGAATAAGAGTGATATTAGTACATTTTACTTGAGCATAAAGGATGCTTAAGAACTGTCGTCCACCTTTTGCTTCTTACTCAGATTACGCAAACAACTTTGCTCAGAAAACTGCAGAGTACTGTCATGAATAATACTGTCTTGCATGAAAGATTTGAGTAATTTCCAACTCCCTTTTAGAAATAACAATTTTCTCATGAATTCTTTCAACTCTCCTTTGAGTAACACTGGAAAACTAGTTTTGAGAGTGAAGTCTTTTCCAGATTCGAAGCATTAAAGGCTTTGTGTACAGCATTTTCCCCCCTTCATTATCAATCTGATTAAATATTCTATTCTCAGTAATGAAATCAAAGAAATTGAAAGGCCTTCCCCTATTTTAAGGATACCTTGAGATATTAAGAAGTAGAGGAGTATATAAGCATGAAGTCATAAGGGGTTTCTTAGAGCTCGATCAATTCCACTGACAATTCTTTGGTCATCAGTCCCCTTATTACTCCATGAATAAAACCATTCCATTCTCCCTATTATTGATTTGCAGTTCAATAAGTTCAGTCTGGTCAATGATAACATTCCCATTTTCTAATTTTCTTTATGCTCGGAATAAACTAGCATTGAAACCACCTGACACTAGCCAGGTTGGCTGCAAGTAACACTAATTATCATATCAATTTCATCTACGACCAGGGGCGGACCCACCTTTAGTCATAGTGGGTCCGGTGACACAGTATTTTTTTTTAAAAAAAAATATCAAAGAGATCCCTTATTATAGATAGGTGGTCTCTTTGATGCTGCTGTTGGTAACAACAAACAATATCAAAGAGACCTCTTATTAAGATAGGCGATCTCTTTAATGCTGCTATTGCTACAAAAGACTTGCTGTGGTTTTTTTTAAATATTAAAGAGACCTGTTATTTATATAAGAGGTATCTTTGATGCTGCTATTGCATTTCGCAATTTCTTTGCGCTACTTTCTGTTTTCATTAAAGAGACCAGTTATATTTAATAACTGGTCTCTTAAGTTATCTCACTTTTTTTTGTATAATTTTTTTATAATTTTTTTCCCTTTTTATATCTTATATTTGTACAACCAATTTTAATATTTCCCCATAAAGCTTATCAATTAACTAAAAAATCATAAAGTTAATTCAATATAATAATTTTATTGTACCATTTGTTTATAACATGTTATTTGTAGTATTTTCGACTTGTAAAATTGAATTCTTAAGTACTGTATTTGGTTGTGGTATGAATTTTTGTGTCCTATTTTTGGATTGCAATCAATTTGGTGAAATATATATATATATATATATATATATATATATATATATATATATATATATATATATATATATATATATATATATATATATATATATATATATATATATAATTTTTGGATTGAAATTAATTATGAACAAGACATGGAAAAAAAAATTGTACTTTCACAAATGATCAATAATTGATGGTGACACACTATCTCGGAAATTCTGGATCCGCCACTGTCTACGACTGCCTCCAAACAGGAAGTATATGCTCTATTATATGAAGCAGATACAGCAGTAACTTGAAAGAATGGAGGCCTTGCTTATCACAGACTAAGCAATGAACAAATTGTTCATGGGAATCTGCCCAAATCCAAAAAATGTACATCTATCTTTTGAGTATTCTATATTCCAACCTACACAAATTCTTACAGCATAGTAAACGAGTATGACGGTTGGACAGGGGAGTTCAGGAACTAGACAAGCCCATCTAGTATCGCTGCAAAGTGCAAACATTATCATTGAGGTGTGTCTTAGATATGGCTCATCTCAGACCGCATTCTTCAATATTCTCTTTATTCTTTGCTAGTTACAAGGAGCCTTTACATTATTATTGGCAAGATCATCAATTTTTTGCATTTGATAGAAATTAAGTTCACTAAAAGTGCTTTAGTAAATGTACTGGACTTTATACCATCCACCTGAATTCTACCCTTGTAGCTCAATTTTACCCTGAATCCATTCATAGCATAGTGCTTTAGTGCTCATCCACCTTTAGTCATTTTCCTTAATGAAAATTGTCCTGTCAAGTGTCAACTGTCAGCGGAACTGTCATATTTCCAATTTGTGAGTGGTAGCTTCTTTTTCCGAATTCCAACTGATCCTTCAACGATGAAATCATCAACTTTGCAGATTCAATTGCTATTGTCTTGCTGACAATAGATAACGAACTTTCTCCATCCCATAATACCTTACACCTAGACTTTTTGTGCTATTTATGTGCTTAATTTGACCATATTTTAAGTACAATATATAAACAACAAAACTATACTTATATATTCGTTTAAAATATATATATATATATATATATATATATATATATATATATATATATATATATCACTAATAAATAAAGCCGGTCTCGCAGTCAGGCCACGAACCAGCGATACTTGGCATTCCAGTTTTTCGCCAACTGTCGAGCAGGCGATAAATAGACATTAATGTGATTAGATTAGATGTATGTTAGATTAGATTGGATAGATTTATTTAGAAAAAATAATATATAAATAAAATAATTTATAACTCTTTTGGAAAAAAGTTGTCTTTTTATTGACAATAGAATTTTACTTATAGCAACGCACCACATATTATAATTAATATGAATATCCAATTAACAATAAAATTTAACTCCTATACGAATAACCACGTAATTATAATTATAAATATGGTCATGTATCATTAATTTATTTCAGTCTACCATTGATTTACCATTGAAGCTTTTGAATAAGGTATTCTTCATATTCGGTTGTAATATTTTTGTGTATGTTTGTGATTTTGTTAATGAAATTACAGAAATAAAAAAAACTACTAAAATTAGGACACAATAGAAACTGTACCATACAAGGGAATTTTAAAATGAATTCATATCAATGTTAGCAATGTTTTAGAACTTTACGGGGTTTTCACTTATAAAAAGTTTCAATAATTTACTTTTTTTTATGCTAATCATAATATTATTATTATTATTATTATTATTATTATTATTATTATTATTATTATTATTAAAAGGGTTTATTTGAAATATTTAACATTCAAATCAAAAGGTTTATCCTTAAATTTTATTAACAATACGGACATCGCCCGGACACAAAACTAGTATATTTATATATACTTATATATTAAAAAGCATTCCTAAAAACGTTTATATGCCACGTGGCACCACTACTAGAAAACAATGATTTTCGACGGAAAAGTTCCGTCGGAAATACCTCGTTTTCCGTCGGAAAACCCGTCGGAAGCGGTTATCGGAAAAGATTATGTAGGGAAAACGACCTTTTTCGACTGAAATTTCTTCGGAACTAGTTTTCCGACAGAATTAAGGCATCGGAAGAGATTTTCCTGGCAAAAAAAGTCCGTCGAAAATTTCCAACGGAAATTCCGTCGAAAAAAAGCTTTTGAAAATTTTAAAAAAAAAAAAAAAACACCCCACCCCACCACCACGTCCAACCCCTTTTCCCACCAAACCACCAGCCTAACCCGTTTTTCAACCAAACCACCTGCCCCGAAAAAACCCACCCACCACCCACCTCGCCATTCCTCACCCTCCCAAACCACCACCGAAAACACCATTCCCCATCGAAACCAACCAAAATCGCCATTTCCCAATCTACCCACTACCCATTACACAAAAATCACCACACCCACTACGAAAACCACCACAAAACCAGTTAATTTACCCAGATCCCCACCACCACGACCACAATTCAACCACCACCAAAAAAAAAAATCAAACTAAATTAATAGAAAGATAACGAAGACATACCTTCAATTTCACCAAAAAACCTGAAATTGGCCTCGAATTTGGGTTTTTATGGCCAAATTCGACCATGAAAACTACATAAAAACTCTAGATTTAGCGTTTTCATGGTCGAATTTAGCCATGAAAAGCCATTAGTTTGTTTAAAAATTACAAACCCTCAAATTGCAGTTGGTTTTTTGAGCGGCGACGATGGCGTTCATGGTTGTTTGAGCGGCAAGAATAGGAGATAGAGAGTAAGATGAGAGGAGAGAGAAAACGGAGAAGAAGAGAGGAGAGAGAAAACAGAGAAGAGGAGAGAGAAAGAAATGGACAAAGAAAGGAGAAGGAGAAAGGAAGCAGAAGGAGAAGAGGAAAGAGAAACCGGAGAAAAGGAGAGAGAAACTACAGAAGAGGGAGAGAAACCGGAGAAGAGGAGTGAGAAAGGAGAAAGGAGAAGGAGAGAGAGAAAATCTTAAATGAATGGGGAAGGGGCGCTGGCGAATTAGGGTATAAAAGGTTAGGGTTTTTTTTTTTTAATTCCGACAGAATTTTCGTCGGAAATAAAATCCGTTGAAAATTTAAATTTCTGACTGAAAATGCATATAATCCGACAGATTAATATTCCGTCAGAAATTCCCGACAGATTGTTTTAATTCGTTGGAAATATCCGATGGAATAAAAATCCGTAGGAAATTTCGGCATTTCCAATGGGAATATGTGTCCGTCGAAACCTGTCCATCGAA